CTCAAAATATTCAATAAAGTATACCTACTCATTGGAAAATGGATAACAATTATCGTCAACATTACAGAAATTGTCCGAAATGTCTCCCACTCTGTTCGAATATTAGGTACTGTATTATTGAAACAATATTGAACAAATATTTGAGTTTCAATCAGATTATTTCCCGCTTCATCTTGCTTGATTGATTTTCAATCTCTCAACATTGATTGAAATTTTTTTCCTGTGGTTGTTCCGAGCTACAATTTTTGTGACTTTATTGAGGATAATTCCCCAATATTCGTTCTGCCTTAATGCTTGATTCTCTAAGATTACTGAAAGACTTCAATGATGGTAGGAAACTATTTGCTTATGCGATACAAGTTTTCTATAATGAATATATCCGTAGAAAGGTCGGCGACCTGTCACTTTTTAATAGATACTTTCACAGAAATCATTCAACGAGTAGCAATACCAGCCAGACAAAATCGACAAGCGCAGTCAGAACATCCTTTCGTTGTCAACCTCGAAATATGTCGAACAGCACTCTATCAAAACTCGCTTCTCTATATAGAACGGAAAAGCTCTGGAATTCATTGCCTGAGGAAGTATTTTCGAGAACGTAAAATCTCCAAGAGTTCAAAAAAAATCCTACACCTCCTTTTCCTATCCTCCCCAGCTAACACAGATTGATCCCAGAGATGTAAGAGGGCATCACATTCATGCCACACATCACATCTGTGACTCGAAATGAGACGCCTACTGAAATCACAATGACTGCTATTCCGGACCCTTTTGGTCATTTTATGATTCACATTATGATGCCAAATGAAAATCACAGTACGTATTATGCGACTCCTCATTCAACATCAAAATTGATTTATTCCGTTCGTTACATAAATAGACAAGGATGTGAGGTTTCAGTGAGTCTCTTGGTTGTTAGGGAGACTCATAAAGTCACCAACATTTCAGGTCTCAAATTTAATAAAATGTGAGAAATATTGCGAATGTTTTGTGAAAAAAAGAGTCTCCTGGTAATACCAATGATGTTTTGTTGTGAGTCGCATTGTTACCTAGCGAGGCATGAATGTGACATCCCAGGGAGTTTGTGTTTACTGGGTCCCTATAGGTAGGCACGGTGTACTTCGAACATTATAGGGATTCCGTTTCGTGCGCACCAAGCGATAAAAAAATCCTACCGAACTGCATTTCGTTTTGCTGATTGATTCGTTCAATATTGGGTAAACAATCTGCAACATCATGAAACATATTTTTAATTATTATCGAAACATTCTTTGACGTGTACAGTTCTGATATAACAATAAACAGATATTTTCAAATCGAGAAGAATCTTCTGTCGAAATACTGAATTTGAAAGAAAATCAACTCCTAATGCGCGTTCATCACTGAGTTAAAGTATCAACAGAACTTTTTATTGGCTCTATACAGGGTGTCCCGAAATTAGCCTGCCAAACTTCACCAGCGGCTTCTTCGACCAAAAAGAGGAAGAAAAGTTCCAATTAACATGATATTTCTTGAATATTTCCGTAACGCCACGTGATGAAATGATGCAATTCGGTACAAGAATCAGACTTACCATGCCCAATGCGGTGAGCATAAGATAATTTCAAAGTTTCATTCAGGAGTGTATTCTACAGGGGGACTACATTAAATATTGCTCAAACTTTTTCGTATGCATATTTTTTGACAATTCAATCTCGGATTATGAAAATCCACACCATTTCACAAGAAAAGGTGCTCTTGTTCCGCATCGATCAGATGTATCATCTTCGAGTGAAATCGATATTGATGCACTCACATCTTATGCATAACGTTGCCAATTTTCAAATCATAGTGGCTTTAAAAAAATCAAGTACTTTCTTCTTACCAAACAATCTCACATGAAAGCGCGGAAAATAGAAAAATAATGATTAAACAACTATTTCAATTTTTGTGCATTTTTTTCCATTTCCACTACGCAATGTTAGGCATGATATCTGAGATGTAACAATATTTTTAAATTGCTTTTACTCGATAATAATACATCTGATCGTCTAGGAACAAGAGTATCTCTTTTCTGTGAATAGGTGTGAAATTTCATAATCCGAGATTGAATTGTCGAAAAATATGCAAACAAAAAATTTTGAGCAATCTTTAATGTAGTCCCACCCTGTATTATACACTCCTGATTAAAATTTTGAAATGATTTCAGGCAGCGACATTCGGCATGAAAATTCTAGTTCTTGTACCAAATTGCATCTTTTTATTACATGGTGTTTCGGAAATACTCAAGGAAAATCATCTTCAGGAGCCCCCTTCCAGGGATGAAGTTTGGCAGGCCAATTTCGGGACACCCTGTATAGCGAAAGAAATCACTTCATTTTTCTTTTTCGATATTCACTCAGTAATTCAATAATGCCCTCCGATAATATTTCTTATTGAGCTATAAATTGAATGTATTTATTTATACCTTGTGTATGAAGATACGTTGTAGGAGAGTTGCTGAGTGCCAATGAAAGAACAATTCCATACTCGTAACCATGCATTAATGAATATTTTTTGATTAATTCTCGGGCATATCGTCTTTGACGGCTGCTAAATTCAGTTGTGTCAAAATAAGGATTATTTTCTAAAAATATTTGCTGAAGTAGACGTCTTGATGCTATTTATTTCAAACGTTTACTTCAAATCTTAAGAGAGTAACACTATGATGATGGAACAAATTTTTCTGAAATTTTTATATAAGTGCCAGATTGTAGTTCATCGCACTCATGGGCCACCCTGTATATCGTTATCTGTTTTGATAAAGACATCAGTGTGAGCTACGAACATTCCAGAAACATAGGTGTTTGTCATTAATATGGTAATCAAAATCTCAATGACAATCAGATGAAAAGTGTGATATGAAATGTGTTAGAGATAAAGATGATTTTCATACCTCAATAAACGTATTTCATATTCATACATATTGGTAGGAGTTCATCTCTACTGCTACTGCTAAGAAGTCATGGGTATGAATGAAATATTCAGTGAGGTAATAGAAGAACCTTATGAAATCAATGACTGGACTAATGAAGAAGGATATAAAACGGGTAGATAATTATATAATAGTATTATCATGTGTTATTTTTTCAGGCAGATTTTTCTATATTTTTTTCTCAGGCAGATCGCTCTATGTGTGGTGGTGGACGGAGTATCGTCTGAATCTAGTGCCATTAATTCCGGCGTTCCACAAGGATCAATTCTTGGACCAATATTGTTCTTACCTCCTATCAATAATCAGTTCGGAGCAACCACTCGTTCTATCCACAGCTTTGCAAATGATAGTAGTAAGATGGTAGTAAGAACTTACGACGAAGGCAAGTCAGCACTGTGAATAGAGATCTTGCTGAATTCACAGTCTGGGGAACCAACAACCTAGTTGAATTCGACGCCACCAAGGCTGGTCAACGCTGTCGATGAAGATCTTGCTGAAATTACATTCTATGGAACCAACAACCTAGTTGAATTCAACGCCACCAATACTCAAGCCTGCGTTTTCTCTAGAAACGCGGAACCCAGTATGCCTGATTCAAATGATGAGGTACCACCATTCTCATCAAGTCCAGTATATCTATGCTCGGTATTTCTTTCAGCAATAATCTTTCATAGGAAAATCATGTTCGAGCCATCGCGAAAGCTGCTTCACAAACTCTTATTTTTGTTCCGTGCGAAAATCTACTTCACAACTCAACAGCTTCACATGATTTGCAAGCACAGGTACGGCCAGTTTTAGAATACTGTTCTCACATATGGGGTTCGGCACCCAAACATACCCTTTGCATCCAGAGAAGGGTCAATTGCATCGTGGGTGATGCCACACTCGATAGTTGTTCGACCTCATTAGAACACCGTACAAAAGTCGGCGATCTTTCACTATTATATAGATACCTCCACGGAAAATGTTCCTCAGAAATTTCTGCTATCATTCCATCACTGGCAATACTAGTCAGACGAAGTCGGCAAGCTCAGTCAGCACATCATTCCATTATCAACCTCGAGATACATCGTACAACACTTCAACAATACTCGTTCGTTTGTAGAATGGCAAAGCTTTGATATTCTTTGCGAATGGAAGTATTTCCAAGAACTTTAAACCTCCAAAAACTCAAAATAAACTTCCATACCCACGTCCTCTACCTATATCTTCCCTAGGTATGCACGATGTTCTTCGAACACTATAGGAATTTCTACTAGTGCGCTCCAAGAGATAAAAATATAGGTTTCCGAATTGAATATTCAAATAATTGTCACGTTTATACCTTCTCTTGGTAAGCTAACTAATGATCATAATTCAACTAAACGTGCTTTTGGGCAGTATGGTATAAAATGTAAAGAATTCATGGCTCATCGTCGAATTGGCAAGACGCCGAGTAGGCAAAAAAAGAGTGTGGACACGCTTGTCACCAATGACATTTCCGATTAGTCATAATTTTCAGATTTGAAACGACAGTTCTGAAAATTGAATCGGCGTCTCCGTGAAAATGTGTTTGCATATATCTTGTTCGGTAACAATTTGCAAACATTCGAAGGATGATGGTTAACATTTATTTGAGTTGCATGGAGAAGACACGACACCTCAAATGTTCGTTGAAGCTTCAAATTCCAATATTCATTTCATGGAAATACATTCATAGGCCAATAATATTTATACAACTACAAAATGAGCATCATGTTCCTTTGGTGTTAAGCCAATGTTAGGTTTCAAATAAAGTGCTCAAAGTATTAAAAGTGGACTACTCGAATTTTCGACCTTTTTAAAATGCGATATTTTTTTTGCAAATGAACCAGTTTCAAATCGATAACTCGAATTGCTCTCGGAATTTCTGATTTTCCTTATACAGAATGTGAAATATCGATACTGGTTTTAAAAGCAGCAGAACTTTCGACCACAACAAAATGAGCATTTTTCAAATAATATCTGAGATTCTGTGAAATCGTCTGCTCATATTGATTCTGCTACAATAATTTGCTTGTGAAATTACCTTCATTCAGATGGATTGCGCCAGTCAACATTTTGAAACCATTTCGTGATTTTCTTGATTAGTCAATTCTTGGGGCCACTAGGGGGCACTTCTGCATTATTCAGTAGTCTACATGAAATATTGAAAAAATACTGATTTCCAGACATTCCTGAGTTGTATGGAATCGCGAAACCTCCATAGTAGACGTTCCCTTTATCTCTTAACATCAAATTATGAGAGAAGTGCCAAGCTATCGTGACAACAACTGTCATTATCCTACAGTAATCAGTCTAATCATTGCTGGCTTCAATAAATCTGAACAGTGATAAAGAAACTTCAGAAATGGTAGTAGTACATCCATGCAATGATGGCATAATATCTGATATTCAGCCGTCATTTACTGAAACATGCCCATTATTGATGGTCTAACCTCCAGACTGAAATTCTTATCACGCCAATATTATACATTCTTGAATTTTCAATAGAACTCAAAAGATAATTTGATGATGAAGATAATATATATTATAGAAATATGGATGAAAAAGATTCCACATCTCACTTCAGCACCTCACAGAATGAAACTTCCTCCTCAAAAATTTAAGTATTCGAAGAATGAGTACAGTTGTGTGCAAAAACAAGTCGTACAAGGTTTATACAGTGTCTTTCAAAAGTATCGGAACGGTCTCATATTTCAGGAACGGCTTGAGAAAATTCACGAAATTTTCTACAGGGTGATTATTGATGATGTCCGATTCAATGGTGGCATCGGCAATGTTGCCAAGTTTACAGTTTTTCAGATATTAGGAGTAACTTTAGTTTTTCAAATGGAATACCCCATTTATTTTAGTTGCAATTAATTAAGCGCCTCCTAATCACTTGAGTCCCTGAATATCAGATTCGTAATTAACGTGATTTTCGAAATATGACAACTTAGCATTTTCGTCAAAAAGTTCTGGAACGGTCCCATATTTCAGAAACGGCTCAGAGAAAATTTATGAAAACTTCGACAGGATGGTTGTTGATGATGCCCGATTCAATGGGGATATCGGCAATGTTGCCAAATCAACAGTTTTTCAGATACCCTCAATATCTGAATAGGGCATCATCAGAAACCATCTTGTATAAAATTTCATGAATTTTCCTTGAACCGTATTGAAAATATTAGAAGGTTCCCAGACTTTCGAACGAAAATGCCATGTTGTCATATTTCGAAAATCACTTCAATTTAAAATCTGATATTTGGAGACATAAATAATGAGAGGCATCGCTGAATGTATTGCAATGAAAACAAATAGGGTATTCCATTTCAAAAAATTGAGTTACCCTAAATATTCGAAAAACTGTTGATTTGGCAACATTGCCGATATCACCATTGAATCGGGCATCATCAACAACTATCTTGTCGAAGTTTTCATAAATTTCATAAACCGTTCCAGAACTTTTCAACGAAAATGCTATGTTGTCATATTTCGAAAATCACGTTAATTACGAAACTGATATTTAGGGACTCGAGTAATTAGGAGGCGCTTAATTAATTGCAATAAAAATAAATGGGGTATTCCATTTGAAAAAAAAAGTAACTCCTAATATCTGAAAAACTGTAAACTTGGCAACATTGCCGATGCCACCATTAAATCGGACATCATCAATAATCACCCTGTAGAAAATTTCGTGAATTTTTCTCAAGCCGTTCCTGAAATATGAGACCGTTCCGATACTTTTGAAAGACACTGTATAGTGTGAACCTGCCTATGATGTTTCAGATTTCATTAAAAACTAGTGCGCGTACACATTCGCGCGTTACTGACAAACATAGTTTGAATTTTGACACTGCTTGTCCAAGTTGTTAAGAAGAATTATCAAGAAGGACAAGCCTGACTCACAATAGCCTATAACTGCTGTACGACTTGTTTATGCACACAACTGTACATTATTTCTCCAATTTTCAATTTCAATTTCTTTGAAAATGTAAGCGCTAGGGCTGAATGGAGGACCTCAGGATATCCTTATAATTCAAATTATGGGACTATACCTACCTACATCTATTGTTTCAATTCACCTACGTTATACTACAGCAAATACAAATACATATCTGATATGAAAGGGATATATTATTCTTGTACAGTTAATGTATACTGCATGTATTATCAAGTTTGTGCCTCATATACAGTATGTGCGATTTCAACCCGCAATACCCTTTTAATTTGGAACCCGTTGACCGATTTACAAAAAACGGAAATTTCATAATATGGTAACATTCTCGAAAAGAGCTCGTTGAGTACTATATTATTATTATGAAATTTTTGTTTTTGAAAATCCGTCGACGGGCTCCAAATTGGGAGAGTGTTGCGGGTAGAATTCGCACACACTGTATATGTTTATCTGACATTATGCATCAGAAGAAGAAATATACATTTATCTACTCTTAGATCTGTATGTTATTGATTGATGTCTGTAGTGGTGAAGGAATAAGAATCATATATGGTTTCTTTAGAACGGATATCAACAAACAGAAACACTTTCAGACATAAAGAACTGAGTCAGATACAATGGAAATTCTAGTAATTGAAGATACTTCACTGATACATCATCATGTTCATAGAAAAAAAGTTGAAGATTATATTTTATTATAGATGAATATTAGTTATAGAATACATACCTTATTTGCACTAACCAAATAACACAATAATAACAATTCGACACCAACCTATAGAGTTTTATATCACACACATGACTTAATCCATCTGTCACATATCTGTTCAGATATGTGTGCCTCATCAGATGGTTATGTATGTTATCAGATAAATATTTAGTAGATGGAATTTGTTCTATCATAACATTATCTCTATCAGATCGATTATTAACCAGATCTATTCATAGGATCAGTGGTGCGCATGTACGCATACCATTCCCTGTCTACAATGTGTCTATTTATTTCGTAATTCTAAGATTTGGACCATTGAATTCATGGTCAGTTTGAAATACCAGTCAATTTTGTAGTTTTTTTGTCTTTCCGTTTCTTTGAATGAAAAAATATTATAATAGTACCATTTAGTACATATCACATATTTCAATATATCTGTAGTGTAAGGAAAAATCAGATAATATACTCCAAAAAGTAACTGCGCGTTTCGAAATTTCACCGAATATCTTCCTCCATTAGATTTCCAACCATGCAAAATGTTGATGTTCTGAATTTTGTTAGGAGATTGTCTCCTATTTCATAGCATAGCTATTAGATGTATTGGCAGTTTCTTCTTCTGAATCGACAGTTTGTTCTTCTGAATCATTCAAAATCCTATCAATATATTTTAATACAGTTATCATAAAATGCCCTTCAATCACTTTATCACTTTCTATTCAGAGTTCAAAAATATGTAGTAACATTTGGTAACAGATGGCAAACTTTTGATAAAAATATTCGCTTTATGCATCTAGAAAATTTGTTTTTCGAAACCAATTCTTCGTAAATCAGATCCAGATCTGACTCAGTATCAAATAATACTTTTACTATACCTCGAGGATATTTGTGTCCTTACCTTTAGTTTCAACAAAATTTCAGGATTTATCTAAAACATTCCTATCTCTATCTTCGTTCTTGAATATCGAAGACTATAGTCTTTACTATATATAGTATACTTCTCATTACAATCCACTTCCTCTTTGTCATGAGATTATCCAATTCTATAATTATCGGAATATAACACATTCCTGAATATCTCCTTCTCCAACTTGATCATAAAATTGACCGGAAGATGTATTCTCCTGGTCCTTGGTTCTGATCCGACTGCGTCATATGTAAAATCGTATAATTATCAGAATAGAAGCAAAGTTGACATGGGATGCTCGATTCTGACGAAAAGATTTCGAAAAGTTCAAGCCAAACTTTCCTGATTTGTTGAAAGGTATCACCTATTTTATAAAATGTAATACACCTCCTTCCTCAAAATATTCAATGAAGTATACCTACTCATTCGAAAATGATAATAACAATTATCGTCCACATTACAGAAATTTTCCGAAATGTCTCCCACTGTGTTCGAATATTAGGTAATTTATTATTGAAACAATATAGAACAAAGTAATCATCTCCAAACAATATTGGATGAATATTTCAGTTATAATCAGTTTTTTTATTGAGGAGCATTCCCCAATATTCGTTCTTCCTCAATACTTAATTCTCCAAGATTTCTGAAATATTTTTTTCAATGGTATAAAACTATACGCTAATGCGATAGGTATACATTTTCTATACTGAATATATCCGTAGAAAGGTCGGCGACCTTTCACTTTTTTATAAATACTTCCAAGGGAACTGTAATTCAGAAATCTCTGCTATCATTCCACGACTAACAATACCAGTCAGATGAACTCGAAAAGCGCAGTCAGCACATTCTTTCGTTGTCAACCTTGAAATATGTCGAACAGCATTTTATCACTACTCGTTTCTCTATACAGGGTGTTATTTAAGTACGTGGCCAAACTTGAAGGGGTGATTCTTTGGGTGATTCTAAGACGATAAGTTCATATAAACATAGGTCCGGTATTGCTTCGTTTTCAAGATACAGGGTGTCAAAATTTTTGAAAGAAATCGTTTTTTTCGTAAATATCTTAATAACCCTTCAACCGATTTTATTAAAATTTGGCAGTGTTATTCAAGGTCGTAAAGGGCTAATTTAACCCTAACTATATCAAACATATTAGTAAGACCCCAGTTTTTGATGGTTTAGTAGTTGAAATGTTTTATTGTGTTGTCACAGGGATGTGCAATGAAGTGATTTTTATGTTTTTTCTCAAAAACAAAGCAAGATACGAAAACAATTCTAGATATAAAAAAGTTGTAATTTTAGTTGCTCAATGTGGAACAAATACAAAAATTGCAAAAAAATCAGTGGCGCACATTTTTTGTGTCAAAAATATTGGTTACAGTGCCTTCCGGGACGCCACTGGACATGATAATTTTGATATAGTTAGGGTTAAATTAGCCCTTTATGACCTTGAATAACACTGCCAAATTTCAATGAAATCGGTCGAAGGGTTATTAAGATATTTACGAAAAAAACGATTTCTTTTAAAAATTTTGACACCCTGTATCTTGAAAACGAAGCATTACCGGACCTATGTTTATATGAACTTTTCGTCTAAGAATCACTCAAAGAATCACCCCTTCAAGTTTGGCCACGTACTTAAATAACACCCTGTATAACGGGAAAGCTCTGGAATTCATTGCCTATAAGGAAGTATTTCCAAGAACTTATAATCTGTAAATTAAGGAAGGTATGAGAAGCTATACACGCGTTTTATTGGATGGTGCAACAATAAAGAAATGAAAATACCGAATAATAAGGAGAAGTATTTTTGGCTCATTTCCTAGAAGTGTCTAAAATTAGAGACAAAAAACCTTATGGGCCTGCTGGCTTCCGCAATGAACCTATACATAATGCGTCAAACTGTAAGTTCACAATAGCTATTAGTAGATATAGAGAATATATGTCTCTTGTTAGTTGTTCCAATAAGGATGAATAATTAATTCGCGTGCGGGAAAGAATCACTTTCCGCACTTGTTACTATTTATTTAGGATCGAAACATTCTTTGACGTGTACTAAATTGTACTAAAATAAGAATGAATAATTAATTCGCGTGCGGGAAAGAATCACTTTCCGCACTTGTTAGGAAAATTACTATTTATTTAAGATCGAAACATTCTTTGACGTGTACTGTTCTGATATAACAAAAAAAAACAGATATTTTCAAAATGGAAGGAATTTTCTGTCGAAATACTGAATTTAAAAAGTAGCTACCCATATTGTTCGTTGATTACTGTGTTGAAGTATCAACATAACTTTTTATTGGCTCTATATAGCGAAAGAAATCACTCCATTATTTTTTTTCTCGATATTCAGCTAGTATTTCATTAATGCCTTCCGATAGTATGACTTATTGAGCTATCAATTATTGCATGTATTTATTTAAACCTTGTGTATGAAATGGTATGAAGATACGTTCTAGGAAATGTTGATGAGTGCCAAATATAAAACATTTCCAAGCTCGTATCCAAGCTCAGCCATTGAATATTTTTTGATTAATTTTCGGGATTATCGTTAATGACGGCTGCTAAATTCAGTCAACGATTCAGTTGTGGAATCTGACAAAGAAGACTCATCTTTCATCATACCCTCAAAATTAATATTATCTCCTATGAATATTTGCTGAAGTAGACGTCTTGATGCTTCTCATTTCAAACTTTCATTTTATATCTCAAGAGAGTAACACTATGATGATGGAATTTTTTTTTTTAATTTTCATATAAGGGCCAGACTGTCGTTCGTCGCAATAATGGGCCACCCTGTATATCGCTATCTGTTTCGAGAAAGATCATGATATGAGCTTTGAACATTCCTGAAACATGGATGTTTGTCATAGATATGATAATCAAAAATCTCAATGACAATCAGATGAAAATTGTTATATGGAATGTGGTAGATATAGATGATTTTCATTGGTAGGAGTCCATCGTTGCTCAAGTGAAGAAGTGATATAATTAATGGTAGAAAAACAATGCACATGCAATAATTTCCTCACGAGTTTTATAATTTGAAAAATCGAATTATGAACCCACCGCTAACCCTTGTTCCCTCATTTGTGGAATCAGTTCCAACTGGTCGGGCGTTAGATGCGGCTTCGAAACTATCAAAATCTGTTTATGATTCGAAAACGACGTCTAACCTGACTTGTCAGTCACTTACTGTGATTCTTGTATCGTTGGTTACGGGCCATGCATTACAGACGAGAAATGGTCTGATGTTTTTGCAAGAACATGTTTCAATTGTGTTTTCTCACACACATTCTGGACTACTGAGAGCGAGGAAAATATAGACGCATCCAGAATTAATTGTTTTTCCGAGAACAAGTTGATTTTCATTCAATTCTCCTCCCAACAGAGATTCGGAGGGCGTTCCAGATTTGGGTCACTTTCAAGAAAACTCTAGATCTTTGATAGCCATTTCGAGTCAATTCTGATATTCAGATCTCTTCATCTGAAGTTTTATCTTCAAAATGAGCCTAAGATTTCCAAAATCGGTTGACATGGAAAAAAGTTATGGCTGCAAAACCAAAAAGTTGATTTTTTGAGATCACTTTGTAAATAAGAGAGATATAAGAAGTTGATTCGCGAAATATCTCGAGGTAATGAGATCATCTTCATGCCTCTGTTGTCGAAGTTGAGAAACAAATTTTTTTCGCCATTTGTGAGCCTTTTGAATATTCCGAAATTTTGCACAGTGTCGGAAAACACCATGTAGAGATTTTATGTGAATACCCTTATGTTTCAATGCAGTACGAGATTATAGCTGAAAAACTGGGCTATCGAACAGTGTGAACCAAATTCAAATTGTTCTAAACTGAAAAAAGTTATTCACATTATAACAGGGGCGACATTTTGGTGTGCGACGAAATTAGTGTTGAGTAGTTTAAGTCATGGATATATGAATGAAATGTTCAGTGAGGTGATAGAAGAACCTTATCAAATGAATGACTGGACCATTGAAGGAGGGTATAGAACATGTTCAACGGGTAGACCATTATAAAATAGTATTATTATGTGTTATTTTTTCATCAAGGCAGAATTTTTTTCAGGCAGATCGCTCCATGTGTGGTGGAGGACGGAGTATCGTCTGATTCCATTGCCATTAATTCCGGCGTTTCACAAGGATCAATTTTGGTACCAATATTGTTCC